GATCTTACCCTGCCTGTGGCCATAAAGAAATTCTCTGACCTGCCTTGTCTGATTGTAGGTCACAATTCCAGGTGGGGTCCTGCCCCATACCCAGGAGGCAGGACGCTGCACAGGGTGGCCAAGAAGAATCCGATAATAGTTCCTCATAGGTATTAAAGAAAAAAAAAAAAAAAAAAAAAAAAAGAAGAATCCGAACAGACAGGCCTTGCTGGGTTCCCCACTCGGCCTGGTAGTGTCAGATCCACCAAATGACCGACATCTCTGCACGGTGGTCAGTCATGCCTGTCCAGTGCCTTCTCCACAGGAGGCCCAAGAGCACAGGGTTTGGGAGCTTCCAGACACTGAACACACACAAGGGGCTTCCTGAAGGGTGGGGCCCCTTCCCCAGCTCTTCGTCTGCATCTTTTGTAATACCGTGTTTCCCCAAAAATAAGCCCTACCCATAAAGTAAGCCCTAGCAGGGTTCCTAAGCGTTTGCGCAATAGAAGCCCCACCCCGAAAATAAGCCCTAGTGACAGGCGTGGCTGCGCAGCGCATCTGCACAACCCACGCATTTTGTCGCGGAGCGGGAAAGAACACGAGCAGCCCTTCTCATCCGCCCCGAGAGAGCTCTGTGGCTCCACATGAGAGATTGGGGCCAATGGTTCTAAAGGAAATAGAGTCGCAAGAACTTCAGGATTGAATTTGGGGTTTGGAGAGTTATGATGATGTTCCAGAAGACGATTTAACTGTATTTGAATAAATGTAGATGGTTGTACCATACTTAAAAAAAAAATAACACGTCCCCTGAAAATAAGCCCTAGGGTGTCTTCTTGAGGAAAAGTAAATATAAGACCCTGTCTTATTTTCGGGGATCCTCTGTAATAATCCAGCAAACAGCGGTTTTCCCCAGTCCTGTGAGCCGCTCTAGCAAATTTTGGGGGGGGGCAGCACTCTGCAGCAGTGAAGGTTCAGAGAGCTCCCTGCTCTAGCACATTAATAGAACCCACAGAGGGGGTCGTGGGAGCTCCGGTTTGAAGCCGGTCAGTCAGAAGTCCATAGTCTGGACTCGTGCCTGGTGTCTGGGTGGGGGAGGCTGCCTTGTGGGACCCAGCCCTCTCCCCGAGGGGTCCGGGGCTGTCTCCAGGTGGACAGCGTCAGCACTGAATGGAACTGGAGGACACTTCGCTGGTGTCCGCTGCTTGGCGTGTGGGGAAAACTACGCATTTGGTCACAGAAGTCTTCTGCGCTGACTGTTGTCGAGACAATAGAAAAAAACCCTTTAAGTGTGTTCTTTTCACTCAAGGGGTTTGGAGGGAAATAGCTACGGGTTTGGTAAGTGAGATAATTACATCTAATTCATTGTCTTATTTTATAGTCCTAATGAGGAGGCTGCATTTTCTTTTTTTTAATTTTGAGACAGAGTCTCACTCTGTTGCCCAGGCTAGAGTGCAGTGGCGTCAGCCTAGCTCACTCACAGCAACCTCAAACTCCTGGGCTCAAGCGATCCTTCTGCCTCAGCCTCCCAAGTAGCTGGGACTACAGGCATGCGCCGCCACCATGTCCGGCTAATGTTTTCTATATATATTTTTAGTTGGCCAATTAATTTCTATTTATAGTAGAGACGGGGTCTCGCTCTTGCTCAGGCTGGTTTTGAACTCCTGACCTCGAGCGATCCACCCACCTCGGCCTCCCAGAGCGCTAGGATTACAGGCGTGAGCCACTGCGCCCGGCCGAGGCTGCATTTTCAACTCTCAGCCATTTCATGAGTGCGGCCCCTGCTCCCGGCTTTGGGTGACCCTGCAGAGCATGGTTTCTCTGGGCATCCCCAGGGTTGAGGTCAGGATCTGGCTTCCAGCACAGCCAGGAAGCTCCTCTCCCGGTCTCAGCAGGCCACGGTCTGCTCTGGGAGCTGAGCTTGCTGGTTCCAGTAAGTGCTCCGCAGGTTTGCTCCCCAGCACTGGGCACCTGCTGGGACGGGGATGCAGTGAGTTCTGCCTGCATCTGGGCCCGGCCAGCTGGCCGTACAGGACAATGGGCTTGGATTAGAGGCTGAATCCCCGATCCTGCTGGGCTCTGGCTGGGCCAGGCATGGGGGCTGTGAACCCACTTGACCTCCTGAACAACCAGGTCAAAGAATAGAGCACAGGGGGCCCGGAGGGGCAGGGCTAGCCCAGAGCCCAGGGAGGGCTGTTGTCTTTAAATCTCACGTTGGGCTGGGCGCGGTGGCTCACGCCTGTAACCCTAGCACTCTGGGAGGCCGAGGCGGGTAGATTGCTGGAGGTCAGGAGTTTGAAACCAGCCCGAGCAAGAGGGAGACCCTGTCTCTACTATAAATAGAAAGAAATTAATTGGCCAACTAATATATATATAGAAAAAATTAGCCGGGCATGGTGGCGCATGCCTGTAGTCCCAGCTACTCGGGAGGCTGAGGCAGGAGGATCGCTTGAGCCCAGGAGTTTGAGGCTGCTGTGAGCTAGGCTGATGCCACGGCACTCACTCTAGCCTGGGCAACAAAGCAAGACTCTGTCTCAAAAAAAAAAATAAAAACAAACAAACAAACAAAAACCTCACGATGGGGACAGTTACCCATCATTCTGATGAGACATGACTCAGACCCCAGTGTGGCAAACACAGAAAAAGAGCAGTTCAGGGTGAAGCTGGGATAAGACATAGACCTGCCCAACCCCCCCACTCCCGAGACTCCAACAGGCACAGCTTGACATGCACTGAAGGGGGCTATTACCTCTTTTCATTGCAGGGAAACTGAGGCTTTGTCAAAGGTCACCAAGCAAATCGGGGCAGAAGCCTGGGTGGATGGGCTGAGATTGTCCTCAGGGCTCCCCTGTTGCTGCCCACCCCCAGGTACAAAGCCCAGGAGAGCTAAAATTGGTGTCTGGGTCCAAATTGAGCTTTGCAGAGACATCTGTTTGTCACCTGGGAGAAGGCTGGCTCTTGATCCAGATAGAAGTTTCTCCCGAAGGTAAGGAGGGTGAGAGCCATACGGTGGCAGCAGGGCCCGCCTCCACCCTGCCCAGCCCCCTCGACCCAGCTCCATGGCCTGCAAGCTCTGCGCACTCTCCCACCCGCCGCAGAGATTAAAGGCCCGGAGAGTCCCGCTGCACCTGTGTGCTCCAGAGCTCCCAGACATATTGGGACAGGGAGTCCCTTATTTTCTCTGGCATCCCAGAGGTAGGTCACAGCTGGGGACCAATTGTGGAGGGTCTGTGCATGGTGGGGAGCCTGAGGACTGGGTTTGCAGTCAAGGGCTCCCAGCCCCACTCTGCCACGACTCAGAAGGGGGGACCTTAGCCAGTTTCTGGGAGGACATTGCCCAGTTCCCTTCATGAACTCAAAGCTCAGCCCTCCGAGGTTCCCGGTGGGAAGAAAGCCCACTTCCATTTCTGCCTTGGAGGACCAAGACCAACTTCATGGAGGAACCAAAGGATGGATTTCCTCACATGCCCATTTTACAGATGAAAAACTGAGGACCAGTGAGGAGAATGGCCACAAAGGGTAGCCCGGCTGTTCAGACCCAGGATCCCACATCCCCTCCACCACAGGCCCCACCCAGGCTGGTCCTGAGCTGGTGGACAAGGACTTGTGTGTGACCTGCTGATCCCAGCGGCCGCTCCCAGTGAGCCCGAGACCCACGTTCCCTCATTTAACCCCGGCTCAGGTTGGCTCCACACCAGCAGGGGTGCTTGACGTTTATGGGATAAATGGATGGAGGAGTCAGTGCAACCCTCCCAGCAGCCCCGAGGCAGGTGCTCTTATTTTACTGCTTTGAGCTATGATTGCGCCATAGCACTCCCGCCTGGGCAACAAGACCAGACCCTGTCTCTAAAAAAAAAAAAAAAAATAGTCTTGGGTTTGTTCATTCATTCATTCACGCATGCATCCAGCAGGCACCTAGAACACAACATCGAGCCCCAGCCAACATCCTGCCCTCGGAGCTCACAGCCCAATGGAGGACAGGGCCCAGCTTCATCAGCCCGCCTCCTCTTCCAAAGATGTTTAGGCAATATCTAAGAAGAGTTTTTAAAAAGTCATATATATACACACATAGACAGACAGACAGATAGACAGAGAGACAGAGCTGGAAAACTGCTCCCCTCCCCGTGCTTGGGCTGCGTTTGTCCTTCCCGCTGGGTGCTCCTGCTGGTTCCCCAGACACTCCAGGTCTCACCCAGGTTCCCAGCGCAGCCCACTTACACTCTTTTATTTTTTGAGACAGAGTCTCGCTCTGTTGCCCAGGCTAGAGTGAGTGCCGTGGCGTCAGCCTAGCTCACAGCAACCTCAAACTCCTGGGCTCAAGTGATCCTCCTGCCTCAGCCTCCCGAGTAGCTGGGACTACAGGCATGCACCACCATGCCCGGCTAATTTTTTCTATATATATTAACTGGCCAAATAATTTCTTTCTATTTATAGTAGAGACGGGGTCTCGCTCTTGCTCAGACTGGTTTCAAACTCCTGACCTTGAGCGATCCGCCCCCCTCGGCCTCCCAGAGGGCTAGGATTACAGGCATGAGCCACCGCACCCCGGCCTCCAGCCCATTTACTCTCTGCGTGTAGACAGGTGTACAAATGCTCCAAGTGTGCTTCCTCCTATCTCGCTTTTCCCTCCCAGTTTGTGATTGTGGTATTTGTAAGTCACGGAGGCCTCTTTGTCTTCCCTCACCCTTTCATCCAGAAGCTTCCAAGCCAGGGCTGTCGTTAGGCTGAATTTGCCCTCCTCTAGGGGTGGGGGCCAGGGCAGGACCAGGAGAGAGGGCTGTGGCGGTGGCACAGCGTCCTGGGCTTGCCTGCGGGGCCATCGGGCTCCATGTGCCCTGTCCTGTCAGTGTTTTATTAGAGAACAGTTGCCAGGGAGACACCGGCCTCTGGCAGGCAGACCAGGGAACTTTGTAAACATAAACCAAGTATGGAAAATGAATCAGTAGGTCCCAAACCAGGTCCCAGGGAACCAGTGTTCGCAGCTAAAAAACAAATGGAAGCATGGCCTTTCAGCCGCACTCACCAGCTCCACAGCCTGTGCCCAGGGGCCAGGCGGACCTGGGTTTCCAACTTCAAGCTGTGCTGTGACCTTGAGCAAACCCCAAGGTCTCTGAGCACGGTTGTCCACTTCTCCCTTGGTCTGCCATTCCATCTCGTTCCACTCTCAGCTTTCCTAGGGCACCTTCCTTTTGCCCTCTCCCCTCCCCTCCCTCACCCTGCCTAGCAGAGGCCTCTGCCTGGGAACCCTCCACCTGCTGGGCTTGGCAGGCTGCTAGTGAGCTGTAGGAGGGTCTCTCTCAGGGTCCCCGAGTCCCCAGGGTGGTCCCCAGGGTGAACAGGTGCAGCCCTTCGTGGAAGCCCCCCCTCGCCATGGGAGGAAAGTATATGGTCAACCCCATTTTACAGAGGGGGAGCCCTTGGCTCGCGGTCGTCTAGCCAGCAGAGGTGCCTGGCCCGAGCAAGGAGGACCGACCACTCGGCACAGTAGGTGCGACGTCCAGCTTGTTCTTCCTCTCCGCGGCTGCTTCGAGGCTCTTCTAAACACAGTAGTGTTCTCCCCTTACAGTTTCTCACTTGTCTGTGCGCACCCCGCCCGGGGCCCGCGGACCTGCGCTTCTAGCTCTCAACTGGGTCGGCAATCCCAAGCCAGCCCAGGTGGCAGCAGAGGCGGGAACATGGGGTCAGGCGCTCGGCCCCCGGGGCGGGGTCGCGGGCTGCGGACGGGAATGTGGGCGGGCCCGGGGCGGGGCGCCCGGCGTCTCCCCTCCCGCCCCCCCCCCCCCCGCGCACTTCCTGAGCCCGCCCGCCGGCTGCCTACCTGCTCCTCGCTCCTGCCCGGCGTCTGGGGGACCCAGGTGAGCCGAGCCCCTGGTTGCGGGCCGAGGTGCGCCCCTCCGTCCGTCCTAAGGTCGGTGCGGCCGCGGGGAGTGAGCCTGCACCGCGCCCGCCCGCGCGCCGGAGGAGCGGCGGGAGCCCCGGCGGAGCGCGTGCCCGCCCCCGGCTCGCGGGTTCCCTCTGCAGGCTGGGGTGGGCGGGGCTCGGGGCTCGACTCGTCCTCCGCCGAGCGGCCCCGGCGTCCTGAGCCCCGCGGGAGGCTGCGGCTGGCGAGACCCAGGTGGGGAAACTGAGGCTCAAGAGGAGGGGAGAGGGAGCGGGGTCCTTACCTCCAGGATCCTGGCCTGAGGTCTTTCTCTGGCCCACCGCGGCAGGGCTGCTGGGGCCCTTGGTCACTGGGCCCGGGCGCTGTGCCGGGCGCTGTGCCGGGCGCTGTGCAGCCACTGGCGCGCGCACTCCTCACGGGCAGTGCGCCGTTCCCCCACCCGGCCGCAGCCCCCTTTAGCCTAGAACGCCGAGGCCGAGGGAAGGGGAGTTTGGCCCAAGGTCACTGAGCCCGGGACAGCTGAAGCGCGTTCCAGCCGTCCCCTCGAGAAGCCAGGCCCCGCCCCCCGGAAGGGTGTACGGCTGCCACCTCTTTAGCTAGGGGAGCCCCGGCGGGACTGGGTGTGTCTGCGCTGTGCCTCAGGGCTTGACGTCTGGTGCGCTTGCTGGGCCCAGGGGACTCCTCCTGTTAGCCCTGCCCTCCCGCCTCTGGCTGGCCTGGGCGAAGCGGGCCCCAGCCCCTCTCCCAAAAAGGACAGCCGGAAGCTCCCCCAGAGCACTGAGCCACTGCCACCCATCTGCCTCCCACAGCGGTGCCTGAGGTCCAGCTGGACTGGAGAGACCGGGGTCCCCATGACGCCGTGGGCAGCCGAACCGAGGGGAGGCCCCGGATAAACGGCATTCCTTTGCAGGTGTTGCCTCACAGCCCTGGGAGGGGAGAGCCTGATTGGCCCAGGCTTGCAGAGTCGCTGCAGGTGCCCAGGCCCAGGCGCACCCTCAGCGATGCACCGCAAGAGACTGGCCTGGAGCCTGGGGTTGTGCCTGTTGGCAGGCGCAAGCCTCTGGGTGCTGTGGTGAGTCTGCCCTGTGGAGCTCTCCCTCCCTCTCTCCCTGCCTGAGATTCCTCCCTGTCTTTGCATGTCAACCCCAAAACTGCGATCTCTTCACGGGCTTTCCAGGTCTCCCTAACCTCTCCTGGCCACCTGTTGCCCAGCCCCAGCCCCGGCAAGACCAAACAAGTGCTGGCGTCTAAATTTTGCCTTGTACTGGCCTCCCGGCTTTTGCCCTGCTCTTGCCTCTGCCCAGACCATCCTTCACCTGGTGTTGATGAGGAACTCCTGTTCATGCTCCCAAATTCACCCCCAGTGTCCTGTGAAGCTCCTAGGGCTGCCCTTCACCCTGCTGTTTTTGTCGGTGGGGGTCTCTGACATCAAGAATATACATGCCCCAGGAATGAATGATTGCATGGGTGAATGGATGACTGTATGCAAAGCCCTGTGATACAAGGAATTCCAGGAGACTCTGTCCTCCGAGGTCAGCCAGAACCATAGAATGACTAGGGACCCCCCCCCCAATTGCCCCATGGAGGCCTTCACTCCCAGTGATGTGTGCTGAGTTTTCAGCCTCTAGAGTGGAGTCAACAGGTGTCTTTTTCCTTCCCAGGGTGTCTGTCCAGAACTGGCTGCCAGTCTCCTACCTCCCCTACTACCTCCCCTGCCCAGAGGTCTTGTAAGTACGGATGGAACTAGGGGAGTTGGGGGCCCTGGGGACTGCTCACAGCTGGGGAGACAGGAGAGTTTTTAAGGTCACTTTCTCTTTAGTTCCTGAGTAATAAGCTCATGGTTCTGTTTTTTTCTTTTTTATTATTATTATTTATTATTTGGTTAATGAAGAGGGAGTGAGAAGGAGGGTTCAATTTCCTTGTTTCTTTTTTCTTTTTTTTAACAGAGTCTCACTCTGTCACATTGGGTGGAGTGCCGTGGTGTCATCATAGCTCACTGCAGCCTCAAACTCCTGGGCTCAAGCCATTCTCCTGCCTCAGCCTCCCGAGTAGCTGGGACTACAGGCACACACCACCACACCTGCCTAATTTTTCTATTTTTAGTAGAGACAGGGTCTTGCTCTTGTTCAGGCTGGGCTCAAACTCCTGAGATCAAGCAATCCTCCGCCTCGGCCTCCCAGAGTGCTAGGATTATAGGCTTGAGCCATCGTGCCAGCCAAGCTCATGGTGCTGATAAATGAGATAGGGTGTAGGCGATTTAAGGGCTGCCACAAATGTGGAGTGAAATCCCCCTTTCAGTCTTGGGGCATCCTTGCAGCCCCCTGCATGGTTTGACCTTGGACACGTTGCAAAGCTCTGAGCCTCCCTTGCTACATCTGTAAAATGGGATGGTAGAGGTGCCCCTCCCAGGCCACCGGGGGCAGGGTGGGCGTTCAGGAAACAGTGCTTTTAAGATTGACCTTTTTGTGCTCAATGTTTGTGTTCAATGTGGATACAAGGAACAACTTAACATGTGACCCAAGACTTCGTCACATAACGAGTCTAACTCTTTGACAGTTAAGAGTAAAGAAATGGGTTGGAACAATCTCAAAGAGGCATCTGGCCCCTTGGTCTTTGTTTTTCATGCCAGCTAAAGGAAAGTTAAGCCTCTGGGTCATAGACTGCTAGTTAACTCTGAGGCATGCTTCATTATAAATATAGAATATGGTAAACTATGGCCAGGCATGGTGGCTCACGCCTGTAACCCTAGCACTCTGGGAGGCCAAGGCGGGCAGATCCCTCAAGGTCAGGAGTTCAAAACCAGCCTGAGCAAGAGCGAGACCCCGTGTCTACTAAAAATAGAAAGAAATTAATTGGCCAACTGAAATACGTATAGAAAAAAAGTTAGCCCAGCATAATGGTGCATGCCTGTAGTCTCAGCTACTCGGGAGGCTGAGGCAGTAGGATTGCTTGAGCCCAGGAGTTTGGGGTTGCTGTGAGCTAGGCTGATGCCACGGCACTCACTCTAGCCCGGGCAACACAGGGAGACTCTGTCTCAAAAAAAAAAAAAAAAAAAAAAAAGTATGATAAACTAGGATAGGAAACCAGAAAATGGAAAAGGTGAAAGAAAAAGGAAACCTCTCTAACACCTAAGTGGACATATAGGAGTAACAGTTATCAGGTGTCGGGAGGTTGGAAGGGGGGAGGAGTGGATGGGTATATACAACCAAACGAGTAAGATGTGCAACGTTTGGGGGATGGACACGCTTGAAGCTCTTACTCAAGGGGGGAGTGGGGCATGGGCAATATATGTAACACTCATAAGAAAAAAAAATAATAATAAAACGAAACCTCTCAGGTCCCCCCTGAGCTGTACACGGATTCTAAAGCATGTCGCTAGGTCGCTTGTTTGCTGTTCCTTCTAATTGAACAGATTCTCCATTTACATGGTTCTAAAAGCAAAAAGGCTGCTTGCTGTTGAAAATGGTGTGATCACACTGTTTTTGCAATTTTCCTCCAGTTTTCCCAGAATGGACTTTATTTCCCGTGTGTGTCCCCACTGTTCACCGGCTCCGGCATCTCATCCCACCCAGGTGCTGGGTCATCATTCTTGACACCCCCCCCCAGCTCCCCACCTTTCCTGCCAACAACTGCTGAGCACTTAGGTCGTCCCTGGTCCCCCTGGGGCATAACCCTTTTTCACTGTCAAAGATCATTTCACTCAGATATGTCCCCTTCTCAGGCCAGAGGGTATAGGTAGGTTCCAATCCATCTCATCAGCTTGTTTTCCAGAAGGACCACGGCATAGCAAACACTCACACATACACCTGTGCCTGCGCAGTGCCCCGGTATTGCACCCGGGCTAGAGCCGGAAATACTAGGTGTTATTTAAAAAAATCAGAAATGAACCCACCTTGCTGAGTTAAGAGATGGGAGATGCGCTCTCTGGTTTAAATTTATTTAATTTCCTTTTTTTGAGACAGAGTCTCACTCTGTTGCCCAGGCTAGAGTGAGTGCCGTGGCGTCAGCCTAGCTCACAGCAACCTCAATCTCCTGGGCTTAAGCGATCCTCCTGCCTCAGCCTCCCGAGTAGCTGGGACTACAGGCATGTGCCACCATGCCCGGGTAATTTTTTGTATATATATTATTAGTTAATTAATTTCTTTCTATTTTTAGTAGAGATGGGGGGGTCTTGCTTAGGCTGGTTTTGAACTGCTGATCTTGGATTACAGGCGTGAGCCACGGCGCCCAGCCTATTTAATTTCTTAGATTACTAGGGAGACCCTTGCTCCCTGTGTCTTCCCGTTGACTTTCCCCTTCTGTGAAAAGCTCGTCTGCGGCTTCTCTCTTTGGTCTGCTCGTGGCCGAGCACATCCGCTACACTTTTTTTCTTTGCAGTTTGTCTGTCTTTCAGTTCTACTGAGTTTCGCACCACCGTGCAAAAAATATTATTTAATATTATTTAATTTTTTAATAATAAAAGACATTTTTTTAAAATAGATTGAAATTGAAAATTTTTGTTTCAGATGGTCAAATCTTCACCTCTTTTCCTTTGAATTTCTCACTTTACTTTTACTTTCAGTTTCTTTGCCTTCAGAGGTTTAGAAATGGGAAGTTTCTTTTGTTGGCTGTGGTGCTCCTGTGGCTTTGTATTCTTGTGTCTGAGTGAGTGCAGGGGCTGATGTCTGCGCTGGGGCCAGCAGGCTGGCGCTGTGTCCCCTTCTCACCTCTGACCACCTGCCTGTACTCCCCTTGCTCTCCGAGCAGGGACCCGAAATACGCCAGCTTGTAAGAAACAAAGGCAGAGGGCCGATGCGGTGAATCGACACTAAAACTTTGTTGATTAAAGAATAGGGACTACTGCTCAAGGTCAGGAGTTCAAAACCAGCCTGAGCAAGAGCGAGACCCCGTCTCTACTATAAATAGAAAGAAATTAATTGGCCAACTGATATATATATAAAAAAATTAGCCGGGCATGGTGGTGCATGCCTGTAGTCCCAGCTACCCGGGAGGCTGAGGCAGAAGGATCACTCGAGCCCAGGAGTTTGAGGTTGCTGTGAGCTAGGCTGACGCCATGGCACTCACTCTAGCCCGGGCAACAGAGTGAGACTCTGTCTCAAAAAAAAAAAAAAAAAAAAAAAGAATAGGGACTAGGCCGGGCGCAGCGGCTCACGCCTGTAATCCTAGCACTCTGGGAGGCTGAAGCCGGTGGATCCCTCAAGGTCAGGAGTTCGAAACCAGCCTGAGCAAGAGCAAGACCCCGTCTCTACTAAAAATAGAAAGAAATTAATTGGCCAACTAAAATATATATAGAAAAAAAAGTTAGCCGGGCATGGTGGCGCATGCCTGTAGTCCCAGCTACTCAGGAGGCTGAGGCAGGAGGATCGCTTGAGCCCAGGAGTTTGAGGTTGCTGTGAGCTAGGCTGATGCCATGGCACTCACTCTAGCCCGGGCAACAGAGTGAGACTCTGTCTCAAAAAAAAAAAAAAAAGAATAGGGACTAATTACAAAAGGACAAAGACTGCATGACCCCACTAAAATGAGATGCCCACGACAGTCAGACGCACAGAGGCAGAAGTGGAAGAATCGTTCCCAGGGGCCGTAGGAAGGGCAATGGGTGAGCTATTGTTTATTGGGGACCCAGTTTCCGTTTGGGAGTGATGAAAAAGTTCTGGACACTGAGAGTGGTGCCGACTGCACGACATTGTAGATGTGTCATACTTAATGCCACTGAACTGTGTACTTAAAAATGGGTGAGAATGGCAACTCTTATGTTTTATGTATTTTACAACAAATAAAAAGTAGCACGGACTAAAGGTGGG